GGAGGTAGAGATAAAGTGACATAGAAGAGTGGTTTTTATATTATATAGTGCACTATTTGTCAATATCTTAGAAATAATTATAATGGAAAACTGTGACCTTTACTCATTTCTCTTCCCCCTGTAATTTCCTTAACATCTGATTATGTGTCTTGTATGGGATTCTTAAGTTATTGTGTATGTCCTTTGTCTTGACAACTAGGTTGTAAGCTCTTTGAGGCCACGGACTGTGTTTTTTTGTCTGTCACTACAGGACACCTAGTAGGTGCTAAAAACGAACTTAAAGATTTATATGACTAAGCAGTTGTACTAGCTTTGAAATGCTTTTTAAATTGCTTAACACCAAAATTCTATATTCTCCCTCAGGCATTTTTGCACCCCTTTCAAAGATAAGTAAAGCAAAAGATCGAAGGAAGAATATAATCCACTCTCCTTCTACAAAGGCTGTCCCACTCACCAGATCCCAGAAAATTGATGTGGCTCATGTAACATCAAAAGTAAATACTGGTAGGTCCAACTGGAAACTTAAATATCTTCTTCCGCATGTTAATTTTATTTGTGGAATGCCTCATATGTAGGTTGTTTCACACCCTTTTTGCTACCTAACTACGAATCTGATAAAACCTGCACCTTATTTCAGATCTGTTCCTTCCTTCCTTTTCTCCCTACGATCTCCATACCCTTACCACCCCCTAATCGAACCTCAAAGCTAGAGTTTATACCTCTAAAAATCCTTCACATAAATCACAGGATTCATAAATCCTGCTTTATGTTTATCACCTGTTCAGGAGTTTCAGTGACTTGGTTTTTTATCAGAAAACATCCGACTCCTGGAACTGGCAGCCAGAGCGCATTCTCTGTTTGACGGAGGCTGCCGGCTGCCGGGGTTGAGGATGGTTTGTTGCATCTCCCTGTCTCCCGTGCAGCGTGCAGCACGTTGCTCTCACTCCTCCCCGAGTGCCTGGTCTCATGCTGGCTCCCCAGGGCAGTCATTTGACTTCTGCCTTTTGAGGCCCCAGCCGTTTTTTACCTCCTTTTTCAGATCCTGTTTCTTTATGAAAACTTCCCCAGTGACCCTAGATCTCTTTGATCTCTTCGTCCCCTCACTTGCCCACACTTTTATCCACACCACCTGGCTGTTCTTTGTTCTCCTGGGTTTTGTCCTCTGACTCCTTTACTTGGGCAGGTCTTTTATTCTGTCAGCAAAATTTGAAGCTTTAAATGGACGGTGAGAGTATTTTGTCTTTTTGTATGCACTGTAGCTAGCACCTAGCACAAAACAAGAGTGCGATGCATGCTTGCTAACTCATTCATACTCACGTAGAAAAGGCTTTCTGCTGTGATCGAAGGGTTCTGTCCAGGAACTTGGTTGGCCTTTCCAACCTGTTGTGTGGGGTTATTTGAACATCCCTGTGTGACACTACACTCCTAATTGCTGTAGTTTAAAAAAACACTTCTTGGCATCCAGTAGAAGAAGGCCTCCTACCCCAACAGTGTCTTTCCTATTTGTGCTCTTATAAATCACACTTCTGTGTAAATTTTAGGAAAAGCTGTTACATTTCATTTAAAAGATATTTGTTGACCTTTTAACAGGTATTGCATTTAAACTTCAAATCAGGGGAGAACAGACGTCTTTACAATATTCGTCTTTTAATGATGAGCTTGGGATGTCTGTTTAGTTAGGTCCTTCAGAAGGATCTTAATCAGATTTTATAACTTTCTCTACAGATGTCTTGTACCTGTTTTGTTAGGTCTATTCCTAGGTCTTCATACTTTTTGAAGCTCTTGTAAATGGAATCCTTTAAGCTGAAACCCTGAAGTTCCAGCAGACAGGGAACGAAAGCTCAAAGAGAAGCCCCTCACTTCTCATTTGGGAGACAGAACGTGGAGGAAATCTCTTGCTTCTTCCCTGAGTGCTTCCTTCCCTGTTGGCTCTTCCCCACCCCACCCTGGGCAGCCCTGTGTGGTGCAACAGGCCCCTGACCCCCAAGGGAGAACCCTTGCCTCTGACCAGAGAAACCGGGGTCCCAAGAACATGCCTGGAATCCCTATTAGTTTTCTTTCTTTTTTCCACAGCTTGGCCCTGAGGCAGAATCTGGCTCAGGAGATTGTAGGACAGAGCAGGGGAACTAAAACCCAGACGTTGTATCCAGAATACCAGGAGGGGCGCCCCCTAGGGGCAGAAAGTGTCAGGGAGACCATGGATGGGAGGGAGCTCAAGAAAGTGACCTGAAAACGCTGGGGTGAAGTCTCGGGCTTACTCCCAAGTTGGATGTGCTGGGATCTGCCTGGCCCCACACTGGTGCTGGGCGGCACGGCACCTGAGATGGATCGCAGAGAGGCTTTGGCAACTGAACTGACACTGGAACCACAGTCACAGAAGGTGGGAACTTTCAGCCTGAACCTAATGGGTCGGCTCCTGGCCAAAACAAACAGCATCTCCATAGCAGTTAAACAGGACCCAGAGTCCCTTAAATAATACTCACAATCGATAGGCTACCACCCCAAATTGCTCCAAATATGAATGACCAGGAAAATCTCAACATCTCTCAAGGAAAAGGATGATCAAAAGATGCCGGTCCTGAAATGATACAGATAGAGTTTAAAGAACATAATAATAACCAGAGCTCTTAGAATTAAGGGAACACTCCTTTGACAAATGGAAAGTTTCAGCAGAGAAATGAAAATATAAAAAGAACCAATGATGCATGTGTGCACACACACGTGCACATGCACACACACGCACACACACACACACGTGTGCACACACACACACTCACACACAGATGAATAGGGTAATCTGAGATTGGTGTATTGTATCAGTGTCAGTATCCCAGTTAGCTATAATAATAAAAGCGTAACCCTAACCAGCTTGACTCAGTGGATGGAGCGTTGGCCTGCAGACTTGAAGGGTCCCAGGTTCGATTCTGGTCAAGGGCATGTACCTTGGTTGCGGGTACATCCCCAGTAGGGAGTGTACAGGAGGCAGCTGATAGATGTTTCTCTCTCATCGATGTTTCTAACTCTATCCCTCTCCCCTCCTCTCTGTAAAAAATTAATGAAATATATTAAAGATCAGAAGCTGGGCTCACAGCTGGTGAGTGTATTGGTGGTGGTGGGAGCCTCTCCTGCCTCCGCAGCGGTCAGACATCCCCTGAGGGTTCCTGGACTGCTAGAGGGCACAGGCCAGGCTGGGGGGACCCCCCCCGCCACCCAGTGCATGAATTTCATGCACCGGGCCTCTAGTTATATTAATAAAAGCATAATATGCTAATTAGACCGGATGGCCTTCCAGAAGGCCTTCCAGACGAAGCTGGGGCTGCGAGGGCCAAGCCCCTTGCATGAATTTCGTGCATCAGGCCTCTGGTGTTATTATAATAAGTTTTGTAAAATGCTACCTTTGGGGGAACCTAGGCAAAGTGTACAAGATCTCCCTGTATTGTTTCTTACCACTGCATGTGAATCTCCGGTTTATCTCAACAAAAAATTCAAATATAAAAAAGGACCAAACAGATATTTCAAAACTGAAAAATATACTGAAAAATAAATCCACTCTGAGTTGTTTCACAAAGTCTCTTACCCACTTGTCCATTCAGCTCCTGCTGTTGTGGCTCTGGCCTCATTCCTGGCCTGTGTAACAACTCTACCTGGCCTCTGCTCCAGCCTCTCTGCTCGTTTCCTCCTCAACTTTGCTGTCAGGGTCTCGTCACTCACCTGTAACTGTTGGTGCCAGCCCTCCTCTCCAAACCCGTCAGAGGCTCAGTCCTTCCCCCAGGTTCCAGTCCGGAGCCAGCACTGTCCCTTCTAAGATTTTACTCTGACCCAATCTATCCAGTTTACTTGTCGCCCAGCCCAAACAACTCTTTATTCCAGCCACACTACTCATCCTTGTCTGACTCTGTCTTTAAGACTTTTTTTAGTTCATCCAGAATGCCTAACCGCCCAGTTCTTTCTGACCACACCTCCAGTGTTCTCTAGAAGAAATCAGACCCACCCCTCAAGACCCATCTCAACACGCCATCTGGTGGAGGCATTAATTTACCTTTGTAGCCACGGTTATTGTCCCCTCCTCCTCTGCTAGCACTTACATCAAAAATGTCCTGTTTTAGTTATTCATCTCCATGTCTTTCTACCTCACCAACAAGAAAAGGTCTCCTGTAGGGCTTAGACCATGTCTTATTCACGTTTGCGATGCTACAGTGCCAAGCACAGCTCTCCACCCAGAGTGCTTTGTCAGTGAGTGGAACGGAAATGGGTGTCGGTGGAATTTAAAACTGGTGCAATGCCCTAGGTTTATTATTTACATAATTTGGGTCTGTAGAATTGAAACAGGAGTCTTAATAGGGTAGAGTGTTATTCATGAGCTTTTTTTTTTTAGTGAATTTTTTGTGGGAGTTGGGTATATTGAGAGTGGGGTAGTCATTTTCAAAATACCAGTGGCAAAGAGTACAGGATAATTTACAATCTGACTCTCACTTACATGAGTAATTACTCATAAAATTTGTTTTTACCTGAAGTTCGCTATCTAAATAGAGAATCTGCTATAATGAATTTGCATGCACACACCTGTGAAATGATGTAAATCGTTTGCAAGTCCTAGCAAGTGTGCAACTGTCCCATCTCAGCTGCGTTTGTTTGCTCTACCTGCCAGCCTTGTGCATGCATATCATGCAATTCAGCAGCTGTGCTGTAAATGCTTTCTGTTATTTAGATTCCTTAATGGAGTGCTAAACAGGTTTAAAATACACTTTAGTGATATTTGGGGAAACGGGTTTTCAGGTGGGCTAGGAATGTGTTCTTTTCTCTTTCCTTTAAATAATGAATTACTGGCCCCTGCTATCTGTGGATTTATTATCCAGCATGTTTTCAGAAGTGGATAAGATTAAGTAGGAGGGCCTTCTCTACTGAAAAAGAAAGTACATTTTTATGTGTAACGATAAACAGAATTCTTTCTTGCTGAGCGTGTTTCGTGCTGTGTTCTAGGGTTAATGCCACCAAAAAGAGATGGCGCTTCGGAATCAACACTTTCGCTGTCTGCTGGTGAGGAACTGAAAACCGCGACGGAGAAAGATGGTAACACACTTTATAATTCTGTCCTCACAGTTACATTTCATGATGGCACTTTAAGATAATACAGTGATATAACTTCTATGGGGCTAAATTTTAAAGTTTTTCAGGGAAAAATCAGTATAGTAAAAATTTATCCTTGAAAAATCCCCTAAGCAGCTCTTGCTCCAGTATGTATATGTTTTTATATAAAATCCTGTACTGTGATTCTTGTGTACTTACATTAGAGAACTATATTGAGAGCAGAAGGACATTACATAGTGTAAATGGCTTGATGAAAAGATTTAAAGTTGCCTTTAGCTTTCAAATCATCAGGTGAATAGAGCATGAATGGAAAATACAGAAGTATTCCTGTTTGTCTTTAGGTTAACTCAAAACATTTAAATATTAAACTTTGTTACCTTAAAACATATTAGCACTGTTGTTTGTGTAATAAGATGGGATTCTACTGTCCCATCTAAAGTGAGAGGTGAAGGGAGTGGTGGTTAGGGTAGGTAGTCAGCTGAAGCTACGGATGTGATGATGATGTCTTATATAAGATTGTCATCATACAGTGTGTTTCCTTAAAATACAGTTGCTTGAGTTGTAAGGTCTTTTATGTATCAGCTGTGTTGGCATGAAACCAGGCATGTAATTCAGCACCAGGTAATCCTCAATTGGGGAAGCTAAGGGGCGAGTTTTACCTTTGATATATTCCTTTCCTTTCCCAGTTTCAGTTCACCCGCCTGGCTCCATCAGCAGCTTGTCCTCTGCGTCTTCCTTGGAGCACAAGCAGAGCCACCCCAGGAAACTGCATGCCCGGGGCAATGGCAAGCCGACCACGAGCAAAAGCCCGTCTGCGCCATCCAGGGCCAGCGCTGGTATCTATGGCTTTTTCAACCAGGCTTTCTTGGTGGTTTTTATCTTGGTCTGTTTGTAAGTAGATTTGCTCTTTTTAAATGTGTAGAAGGAACCCTTGACTTCAATCAGATTGAACTACTTGCACCCTCCCCTGTGTCCCCCACGGCCCTGCCTCCCTCCCCTTCGTAAGCGTGCTCGACCTCTCAGCCTCTCGCCTAGTGCCCTGCTTACGCCTTCCACCCGTCTGGTTGACTTCACTTCCCCATGGGTCTGAGGCCTCCCGCCCTGTAAGGTTCGTTATAGAGCTTTACGACACATCCTCAGATAATTGGAAATGTATGGTTTGCTATCTTCCTTATCTCTTCTCCAACATAAACCAAATCATAACTAACATGTACTGTATACTTACTATTTCGGGTACTATTCTAGGCACTTTACGTACCTTATTTTATATAATTCTCAAAATAAACCTATGGAGTAGGTACCGTTATCATCCTCATTTTATGAATGAGGAAACAGAGGCTTAGGGAGGGAGGTAAGTCATGGCCGTGTGTAAGTGGCTCCCCCGGGCTTCACCCTCAGGTCTGTCTGCTGCTTTCTCTGCTGCTGTTCAGTCCATCTCTGTCCCAGGTATCGTCAGCTCTTCCCCACGCCTCAGGGGCCCCAGACCTCTCCTGGCAGCCGGTAGTGAGCTGAACCCTTCCTCTCAGTACCAGCGAGTCTACCGCTGCTGCAGTGTGGGCGACCGCACTGTGCTGTCGCTCAGACGGGGCCTGTGCCAGTCTCTTCATGTTACGGCTCCCAATAGGACTCAGCATTTTCATGTAATTTGATGCTAGAGCTCTCACCCTCAGAATTTTGTTTCTTACATCATGCATATTGGCTTCTGCACATGCTTTTGTGTCATCTTCACATTTTAAACGCATGCTTTCTCTAGTTTTACCCACTATTTAAAACTCTGTAGGGAGGGTCGGAGGCTCTCCTACAGGTTGGCTGTGAGAACCTGTTCCGATGTGATTTTAACTAGCTGCGAACCCTGCCAGCATCTGTGCAACCTGAACCTGACGATTTCTGGTCATAGGGTTTGGATTTAGTCCAGGTGTGCCACCTGCCTCCTGCCTCCTGTGAACACCATGTCTTAGTTAATTTCTGAGTTTTCATAATTCTTATGAAAAACATGCTGTAGACTGTGAAGTGCTATGGGGATATTAGTTATTTGAGGGCCTAGGGTTGTTTAGCATTGCCCTTTATCCAGGCCTCCCCCCTCCTCCTCCCCTGGTTTATTTGTTGCCATAGTTTCTCCCCTTTCACAGGGTGACTTGCCCTCCACCCCGCGCCCTCTGCGGGGCTCTAGGCCTCCCCAGATGACAGCTGTTCTGTCTGGTGGTGGGGTGGAGAAGCCACTCCTTTTCTCTGTAATAACTGGACAGCTCTCTAGGCAGTATTCTCCAGGACTGCTGGTGTTCCACAGGGCACTTCAGGGTTTAGGTCTGAGTCAAGGTGAGGGGTTTTGTTTCCAATAAGGAAATCAGATGCAGTCATTGGAACCTGATAGCAATTTCACCTCAAATCACATTCCTATGTGTGCCATTTACACTGAGTCCCAGTGAACAACTCTAATTGTAGGATTTTACAATTGGCCAGTGACAGCCCATGGCCAAATCCAACCTGCCACCAAATATTTGTAAATAAGTTGTTATTGGAACATGCCACACCCACTCTGTCTATCTCAGCTTTTGTGCTACAACAGCAGAGCTGAGTCGTTGTGACAAAGTCAAAAGCACTTACTCTCCAGCCTCTGTTCTCGGAGAGGGTGCCACCGGGCAGTCTGGACAGAGTTGATCAGGAGTTGTGTGTGTTCAGTTCCCACGGCCAGAGTTTTCTCAGGCAGCTCTTCACATCTCCTTGAGTAGCTTGACCTCACACGGGAGAAACAGAACTATAGATCGGCGATCTTCAGCCGGTGTGCTACAAGAACTTGTAAAATATGCAATTCCTGACTACTTACTCAGGGGCACTGACCTCTTTTCCCTTAGTTTGTCAAATAAAAAAATGACAGCAGCCAACACAACAATGGTATGAAGGAATCAAAATTACATCGATTTTTTTTTGGTCAGATCGGCAAAAAATATATGTTTTGGCATGCTGCAGAATTTTAGTAATTAGTTTATGTGTGCCAGGAGATGAAAAGGTTAGAACGCGCTGCTGTAGACGATCTATAATGAAAGGCATCGTATATCGAAATCTCCAGCCAACTGGACTGGCTAGAATACAGAGTGATATTTTGGCTAATGTGTTTTCTTATTTTTTCCCTTTTGTTTTTTCTCCTCTTTTCCTGCCCTAACCCCTTCCCCCCACCAACCGATGACACAGGTTTGAAATCTTCAGCAACATCTGGAGCAAATAGTACCCGCCCCGCGGGGGAGCTCCAGCTGGGGGACAGGGTGCTGGTGGTTGGCCAGCGGATCGGCACCATCAGGTTTTTCGGGACGACGAACTTTGCTCCAGGTAACTCGTGTGCGCAGTCTTCGTCCCGCCTGAATTCTGTAGGGTCCAAAAGGCTTAACATGTCACATGCGATGACAGAGAATTTCTGAGGAACATTGGTAGCTGTGGCGCAGGAAATGCACAACAATGATTGAAACGCAGACTGTTCTTACCCAGTTGACTGTTATCCATACATCTTCTTGCCGATAGTGTTAGAAGTGGCTGTCACCCTCCGGTCTCGCTCCCACTGATGGCCGAGTGTGCGCAACGACAGAGCAGACACGTTAGCATTAGGTTCTGGCTGAGGATCATCTTGAAAATGAGCAGACGGCGAGTTCACTGCACAGAGCTTGTATCAGAGGAAGGCAAGCCAGGTGCACAGGAAAAGGACGAAGCTTTTGCGCGCCCGGGACCTTAGGAACGCGTGTGTGTGTTTCTCTATTAATTCCCACCTAGACTTCTGTGGGGATTCCAGAAGAAAGGCTGTTTTCCTTTTGCATTTCCAGTGACTGAAATTTCAGGGGGAAGCCAGCTGAGTGAAACCACGTTCGTGTGTGTAAGGAGCAATGTGCTGCTTTGACACGTGGTGGCATCGCTGCATGGAGGGACCAGGTTGCCTAGGACAATGCTTTTTTATAAAGTCTGTAGCAGCCTGTGAAGGCTCTGAGATTTTACCCCATTTGCAAGCTAACCAGGTAGATGGCCATGGTTGCCTGGGTGCTGGCAGACAATGGGGCTCCTGGGTCAGAGACAGAGGACATCAGTGCTCACAGCAATAGCAGGAGCCAGTGTCACCTCTTTTTTTATTTTTGCAATTGTTCCTGGGGCCCCAGTTTCGAAGGTGAGGTAGGGGGCCAAGTGACACTGCACACCCCATGGTTTACGCTCTGGGAGAGGAGCTGTGAGCTTAAGGAACCTGCACCTTCACACTAAGCATGTAGTAGTTGCATGGTAAGTTGTAGTAGTTGTAGTAAGCGCCTGTCCTTCGCTCCGGGGGAGGCTCTGCCTGTTTCCTCCACGCCTGTCCTCTGTACAGACTCCCATGAAAAGCCAGGTAGCGCCTCTGTCCACGGAACATGCGGAAGCACGAGCGCCTGCAGCATTGTCTCCCCACACATTCTTGTTTCATTAACGTCACTTGTAATCGCAGTCCAACTAATTGATTTGAGAGGGGCCATATGCTTTATAATTCATGTTTCTCTTAGGCCTCCAGGTAGTAATTGAGCATAGTTAGGATGTTCTCAATACAGTTTTCAAAAACTTAGTAATCCCAGAGGTAGGTTGATTTCCACAATCCCGTATGTCTTTTGAGTTTCCTTTCTGTGGTTATGTTAGACAAGGGTGGCGTGGTTTGATTTGCTGGATGCAGTTCATCGTTTAGTTTGACTTTCAATTTTTAAATTCCTAATGGGAAGCATTTAGAAATCTGGGACGTAATAAGCAAATATAATAAAAGTTAGACACTTTGTTAAAGTCATTCTGCCTTTTACAAAGTAGTAGCATATATTTCTCGTGGCATCAAAGTTACGTCATTTAGTTCTGTGGAGCAGTGGTTGGTCATATCTCGGCGTTTTATAGATGATAAGATCTAGCCCGGAGAGGGTCTTGTTTAGCCTGCTTAGCATTTGTATCAGTGCCACCTCTGAAAGAATATTGTCTTTTAAATCTGTACCTCACCACGACCTGACAATGTGTAGTCACTGTTATTAACAGTTGTCATAATGCCTTTTTTTTGGTGTGTTACACATTCTCAAGAGTTACATGGTAAGCATGTAGTAGTTGCATGGTATATTATTGGTAAAAAGGGAAAATGCAAAAAATTATATAGGAAATCATCAACGGCAGAAGGAAGTAAAACTTGGAAAATTCCAACTCTGGCACTCAGAGAAATAACAGCGGCCACCAGGTGAGCTTGGCTAGTGACGTTCCGAAATGTGATGACCTACTTTTAGGCCATTAGTTACAGCCAAGCAGTAGGTTTGCATACATTGCTCTGTGCTTGGGCATAACAGTAGGACTGTTTAATACAAAACAGTCATGCAATTAATCTTTCCAACCCATACTATGGAAATGAACTCAAGTATAAGAGGGAAAAATACTAAGAACTTCCAGGTTGTCTTTTTAGACATTATATAATTGTCTCTCTGAACTAGTAATTGGAAGGAAATAATATTTTTGTATTTGGGGATTTATAAGTTGCAATAAATTTCTCAATATCTATATCCTTATTTTTTTATTTGATACTGATTGTAAGGAACCAAATACAGTTAGTACTGTATTCTCCTTTTTAATTAAAAAAATGGATTTTTTGGTACTTTTAACTGGTCTGAGTCACCCTCAGTTTGAGAATCATTAGGAGTATGTGTCCACTTACCTAATATTTACCGCCCGACTGTCATTTTAGGCCCTAGAAAATGAAATCCTATGACTTTGCTCAGAGGAGACCCTTTTAAATACCTAAAAGCCTTTTTGAAAATCCTTCCTCTTAGATAACCTGAATCTTTTCATTTAGATTAAAAAGAATATTTCTTTTCACCCCGAGTGGGGAAAAACAGAAAGAAAAAGAAGAGCTACTGTGATGTCTAACCATATTTTTCATTTGATTTGTGTCCTCCTGTAATTATTGAAGAGCTGTTTGTGGTGTTCTAACATTGGGAGTAAAATGAAGAGGTTGCTGGTTCCTTTATCCATCTCAGTACTGACACAGCCCATGTCCCCCAGCACAGGACAAGCTCTGGTTCATCACGACTCTCAGACATGTTTTGGTCATACTACTTGCATTACAGCCAATCTTGCCAAATTTGTGTTTGCATTTTAGCTTTCTCTCTTAATGTGCAACTCTGCAGTGAAGCTTTGTAAAACGTTTTCCCTGTTCGTTTTCAACTTTTCCAATGTTACCCTTTGACAGCTGAATGATCATGACGATCGTTCCTCATTTCGGTCATTTGTGAAGCTGCGGAACCATCTAGACTTTGGGTTTGGGTAACAGCATAGCTGCTTGGCTACAGTGCAGATGCCGTTAAAGCCGCCCATTCTCATTCCAGGACAGTGGTACGGGATAGAGCTTGAGAAGCCGCACGGCAAGAATGATGGCTCCGTCGGCGGCGTGCAGTATTTTAGTTGTTCTCCAAGATATGGAATATTTGCTCCCCCATCCAGGGTACAAAGGTGAGGAAGAATGGAATTCATGTTTATTCACAAGAACTTCTTGTAATTTGCCATGGTTTATAGTTAGAGCCCCTAATTTTATATCGAAGACGTGCACCGATTACGTTCCTGTCTTCTTTCAGGGGGTTAACCAGCCACTGCCTTCAGAGAGGAGGCTCATGGAAAGCTAAATTTGCTTTGCTGAAGATTTGCAATTTTAAAATCCTCCTTTATTCCTCATTTGCAAACCCTATGAGTACGTGCAGGCTATTAGAAGTGGCGTTTGCAGCGAACACTGGGAGCAGCGAGCTTAATCTGGCATGCAAACAAAAGTGAAAATGCTCTCTGATTGCTCCAGGCGCCCCATTCATCCTCCTGCAAACCTAATGGGACCAAAACGGCTTTTCCTCTGATTTCTTTAGTTTTCACAAAAATAGATAGGCAGTAGATCTTCGGGGGAAGTGAAGCTTCAAGTATTTATGTGTCATATACCTCCTCAGTGGCTCCTCTTAGCATAGTACACTTTTGTACCAGCTCACTCTGGTTTCAAAAAATCAGGCTGAACAGAAATCAAGTCGTCATGAAATTCCAGGTGCTGTTTTAGAACGACTTAGGTGCTGAAAGAGGTTGGTTTGGTGGGAAGTGGGATGCTAATCTTAAGTAGGAAATAACATCTGTGGTATAACCACATTCACGAGGTAGGTCTGCAGTTACACCATGGGAGTCTCCTCCAGTTCACGTCCAGCTAGACTATGTGACCACCTCCTGGCACGTTTAACAGTTTTTATACCCATTTGCTTTTCTCTATTTTTCATACTAAATAATGACTTACAATTTTTGTATTAATTTTCTTCTATGATGTACTTGATATAATTTTCTTATTATTTATGACTAGAGGTCCAGTGCATGAAATTTGTGTACTTGAGGAGGGTACCTCAGCCCAGCCTGCGCCCTTTTGCAGTCCGGGAGCCCTCGGGGAATGCAGTCGGACATCCTTAGCGCTGCCGTGGAGGCAGGAGAGGCTCCTGCCACTGCCACTGTGCTTGCCGGCTGTGAGCCTGACTTCTGGCTGAGTGGTGCTCCCCCTGTGGAGTGCACTGACCATCGGGGGCAGCTCCTGAATTGAGCGTCTGCCCCCTGGTGGTCAGTAAGCATCATAACGACTGGTCGTTTCACCATCGCGCCGAAACTGGCTCTCTGACATCCCCCGAGGGGTCCCAGAATGCAAGAGGGTGCAGCCAGGCCAAGGGACCCCACCGGTGCATGATCAAGGCTGGGGAGAGACATGGGAGGTTGGCCAGCCGGGGAGGGGCCGCAGGAGAGCTCCAGGGCGTGTCTGGCCCCTATCGATCCGTGGACTCCAGCAGCAAGTTCACCTACTGGTCAGAGCTTCTGCCCCCTAGTGGTCAGTGCACGTCATAGCAACTAGTCGACCAGTCAACTGTCTGCCCCCCTGGTGGTCAGTGCATGTCATAGCAAGCAGTTGAGCAGCCTTAGCATATCATTAGCATATTACGCTTTGATTGGTTGGACGGCCAACTGGACGACCAGACACTTAGCATATTAGGCTTTTATTATATAGTAATAATATAGCATTTAATATATGCTTTCCAGTTTATAAAGTGTCTTCAATTAAATGTTGCTTTATTTGACCCTAATAAGTATTTGGTCAGCTGAGTTGGGGAATTGCAGGAGCTAATCCATTCATTTACTGAGCATTTAATGAGCAGTGGGCTCTGTGCAGTGCACGTTATTATTAGCATTCCCATATTGCAAGTGAAGAAGCGTGGAAGAGATAAAGTAATTCAGCTGAAGCCTTATAGCTAGTGTAGGGGAGGAGAACTTCCTCCACGCTTAGGATCAGCAGCTGGACTGGGGTGGGGGTCTGTGAATTAAACTAACAGCAGATAGATTAACAGGAGAAAAGATATTACAAGTTTATTAGGTTTTATTTTTATATGCACGGGGCATCACAGAAAGAAATGAATAGCCAAAGGAGTGGCGAGGTTGGAGCATTATAGAGCATCTCAATAGCGGAGGAGGCAGGGAAGGCTACTCATGGGAGAGCAAATGATTGTTAGGGAAGGTGAATGGGCACTTAGGAAAATGGACAGGAGGTGGGAGGGTTTGTGCCAATGTCTGTCCTGGTGTGTAGTTTGTGAGGATGTCTGTCTGGGTGTGGTGTCGACTCTAGGCTCCTGGGCTGAGTCGGTCACTGAGTTCTGTGTATGGAGGACCCATTTTTGGCGGCATCCAGAGAAAGTCTGCCCCTGCATGTGTTGATTCTCATGGATCTTCAGCTCAAAATAATTCTCAGAATGGCCTGTGGGGGGCGTGTTCTGATCTCCTCTGTTAGTGAATGGCGCAGCCCACCCCAGCCCAGTTTGCTATTTTGTTGTTGTTTTCGAAGACCTCGCTTTTAGAAAGGTTGCTGGATTTTTTGGTAGTCATTTTATAATGATGAAAAAGAGGTCATAGCTAATGATTAGCATTTATGTTTCTGGCTCAAGGTCTGTGTGCCGGACATTTCAAAAGGCCAAAACTCAAAACGCCAGAATTTGGAGCAAGAAAGGTTTATTGATGGAGAAGGCACCAACTGAGAAGATGGGATTCCTCAAATCCATCCTAAGAAAGTGCAGAGTTCAGGCTTCTTTTATGTCAAGCGAAGGGGAAATGGGAGGGGCGAGAGCAGCCGCTGGGCACCAGCAGGGGTCCCAGGAAGACCTGAAACCTCTCTGTTCCCAGCCCATTGACCCCAGTTGATTTGCATCCTTCCAGGAGGCTTCTGCAGATCTTTGATAAGCAATCATTGTTGTACGTATTTCCCCCATCTCCTCAGGAGAGGCACCTTCTTGGCAAGGGGCTGCTTTTATAAAAACTCAAGCCACCAACAGAATTCCTCCAATGATTGGCATGTCTGTGCGCAAGAACACAGCTGAACAGGATGGATTGGGAGAGGCTGAGCATGTCCGTCTGCTGCACTGATGTCAGCCGGCACTGTTTTAGGCGCTCTGCTCATGCCGCAGAGCAACCCTGCGGGCCAGGCACGTTAATTATCCCTCTGTCCATGCACAGAGAGGCTGAGGGATGCGTGCACTGAGCACAGCCCCGGTGGGGGTTTGAGCCCATGTGGTCTAGTAATGGTTAAAAGAGGCCCCGTGGCTCTCTGCAGGGCCTGTATGTTACAGTGATGGACTTGGGAGTAAAACCCATGCAGAATGTGACAATCTTCAGGGTTCTCATATTACTTGGGAAAAATCTTCATTAACACATTGCTACGGTCTCCTACAAGTTTTATTTGTCTCCTAGTCAGGAGGACAGGGGTTGTTCATTTCACGTTCGATTACCCAGAGAACATAGGGTGGCTTCCTGTAGGCGCGGCAGGTATTGATCACGTCGAGCGCAGTGTTTTTTATGCTGTAACAGCCTTTCCTCTCCTTTAGATTATGAAGCCTCTTTCTTTTACATGGTTTCATCCTTTTCTCGCTTTGTTAATGGAACACATGTTTTTTAATTTGTTTTTTTTCCCCTTGCCTTCCATTTCGTCGTCTTTAAGGTGATTCATTTAAAAGCAGCTCCCTCTTAAAAGAAACGGAGCTCCCTCACTCTCTCTAAATGAACTGCTGTCTCGATCCAGCTGTCTTCCTGTCATCTTCTGATTGCCTCATTCATCCCCATCAAATACTATTAAGTGTCTTTTAGCACTTTTTGCTGTGCTAGGCATTCTGTAAGCAAATAAAACAGACATGGTCCCTGATTTTGAGGAGTTTCTCATTTAAACCAGCTTTGGAGCTCTTTAAAGACACCACTGATCTTCCATAAGGAAGAATTTTTTAATCCTTTTTATTGAATTTATTGTAGTGAAGAAGGAAGAATTTAAAACTAGAGGCTGCGTGAGGACAGTCTTAATAAAATAGTGGCACAGCGTTTCTCCCAGATTGTGGCTAGCCTGCCCTCTCCCTGCCCCGCACCCCCCTTTTCTATTTAAAAAATGTGCCTCTTGTCCAGAATCTTTGCACATGTTAGTGCCTCTGCGTGGAGGCTTTCTACTAACACCCAACTTTCATCTAGTTTATACCTTTTCTTCCAATAACATATAAATCAACCAACATTTCTTTAGAGAAATTCTAAGAAAACTATCTAGCCATCTTTTTGCCCAAGTGGGCATCCGCATAGTATTAATTTTCTTATTCTTAGTTCTCACTAATAGATCCTTATTACAAATTAACTAATCACTTTTAGAATTAAGTTCTCAACTATCCATCACCACTTAATTCAAGTATCTGTCTTTTCATCAAGTCATATTTTTTGTGTTCATGAGTCTGTCATTGATTGCTGTATGATGAATATTATGTAAAAAAGATGCATATAAGTTGCAGGATGAAATTGCAAATATTGCAAGAATTGCAGTATTTATTGATGGTAGCAGTGTGCTGGAGGAAGTGATTGACAGTGAAGGCTTTGCAGATTTAGGTCAGCAAACAATTGAAAGAAAATAAGACTGTTAGGATTGGCCTTTTAAAAATAATGATTTGAATACCCTATATAATAAAGAGCTAATATGCTAATTAGACCAGATGGCCAAACGACCTTCTGGAGTGACCAGCAGGCAGGGGGCAGGGCTGTGAATTTCGTGCATCAGGCCTCTAGTTAAAAAAAAAAGACAAACCTGTCAGGAAAGTGACCTTTATGTTTATGCTTAGAGTCAAATATAAAGTAAAAAAAATGTTGAATTGTTTTAGCCATATAATTTTATCAGAAAAATCACACACTTACAGACTCAGCTGATATCTTTCTTAAATTTAAAAATGTGATGCCCTAGCCAGTTTGGCTTAGTGTAGGGGTCCTCAAACTACGGCCCGCAGGCCACATGCAAATATAAATATTGTATTTTTTCCCGTTTTGTTTTTTTACTTCAAAATAAGATATGTGCAGTGTGCATAGGAATTTGTTCATAGTTTTTTTTTTCAACTATAGTCGGGCCCTCCAACAGTCTGAGGGACAGTGAACTGGCCCCCTGTTTAAAAAGTTTGAGGACCCCTGGCTTAGTGGATAGAGTGTCAGCCCACACAGTGAAGGGACCCGGGTTCAATTCTGGTCACGGGCATGTACCTCGGTTGTAGTCTTGATCCCTGGCCCTGGTTGGAGTGTGAGTGGGAGATAACCAATCAGTGCATCCCTCTCACATTGATATTTCTCTCTCTCTCTATCTCTCTCTCTTCCACTCTCACTCTAAAAAAAAAAAAATCAATGGAAAAATATCCTTGGATGAGGATTAACAAGAAAAAAAGAATGTGATATTTTTACAACTATAGCATTTGTTAAATTTAACAGAAAATAAACTTTTTTTCATAGTTTTTAGTTTCATCCTTGAAGATAAATTTACAAAGAAGTAAAGTCAGGTCCCTATCTTAAGTGAATTCACTTTAAGTTGACTTTTTCTATATAAATTATTGTTAGATAACAAAGAAGGGATAAACAGAAGGTATCTTCTGTTTGATTATTGCCTGTCTCTGATGCTAGACTGAAGTTTATCCTGGCTCATAATAGGTGCTCAATAAATGTTTGTTGAATGAGTGAAATAAGAAAACCATTAGTGTGAAACCTCGGTTAAGAGCCAATCTCAAATCTGACGACCAGCAACTTCTAATAAGGTTTGTATTACCTGTTTTATTTACAGAGTAACAGATTCCCTGGACACACTTTCAGAAATTTCTTCTAATAAACAGACTCATTCTTATCCTGGTAAGATTACAGTTTTATGTTCCTAATAACTATCCCTTTGCTTTTATTTATTGAAGCATTTTATTGTGAAGTATGTATGTATACAAAAAAGTGTAAAAGTGTATTTGTATAGTTTATGTAATCATAATCACATCTATCACCTGCCCCCAAACTGAAGAAGACAGTTATCTGAATGACAGAATGGCCTGTGTTTCCCCCTAACTCCTGTTTTTAGTTCTCAATAAAATAGGAACTGACTTATTCATTTTCTGTTTTATTTATCTTTTATTTCTGATTGCTTTTCTGATATTTTTTAAGATATATTTTTATTGATTTGAGAGAGAGAGGGAGGGAGGGAGGGAGGGAGGGAGAGAGAGGTAAACATCGATGTGAGAGAGAACCATCAATCAGCTGCCTCCCATATGCCTCCCTGATCGAAGATTGAACCCCCAACCTGAGTATGTGCCCTGACCAGGAATCAACCGCAACCTTTCAGTGCCTGGGACTAAGCTCAACCAACTGAGCCACAGCTGCCAGGGCGGATTTTTTTTTTTTTAAATGATTTCAGAGAGAGAGAGGAAGGGAGAGAGAAACATAAAGAGAAACATCAATGATTAGAGAGACTCATTGATCATAATAGAAAAGTTTTAAAACTGAGTTATTCAGTTTCTATTTTATTTCCCCAACAAATTTTCCATTATTATGATAGTTTTTATATGTAATCATTGTTTATTTAATTTGCTCACATATTTACAAATAGCTCTTGTCATTTATCCTAAAAATTTCCACCTGGGATTGTTTTATTTCTACTTCATGTATATTCTTTAAAAGTCCTTTTAGAAAGAGGTCTGTTTGTACGAAGTTTTTGTCTTTTCTAGCGATAATTTTACTGGGGAAAACGAAAACGCAGTGAACATTTTAGTTTGAAAGATATTTTCTCCCTGCACATTGACAATATAATGCTACAATTTTCTGTCTTCTGTATTTTTTGAGAAGCCAGCTACGAGCCTGTCCAATCCACACTGTTGTAGGTGATTTATTGTTTCTTTCTGATTGCTTTTCAAGGTCTCTATTTCCTTGGTGTTGTACAGCTTCACTGTGATGTGTGTAGGTGGGGATTTCTTTTGTTTATCCTGTTCGGAATTAGTATCTGATCAATTCTGTAAAAATTCTTGTCTATATACTTACAGTATTTTCTCCTTCATTCTCTTTACTATCTATTTCTGAAACTCGGACAAGCTGTACAGTAGCCTTTCTCACTTTCCCATGCCTCTTCCGGCTTTTTCACAATTTTGTCTCCCTGGACAGCATCTGGTATCTTCAGATCCATCTTTTCATTTCCTGGTTCTTTCTTCTTCTTCTTTTTTTAAAAAATATTTTTATTGATTTTTTACAGAGAGGAAGGGAGAGGGATAGAGAGTTAGAAACATCAATGAGAGAGAAACATCCATTAACTGCCTCCTGCACACTCCCTACTGGGAATGTGCCCGCAACCAAGGTACATGCCCTTGACCAGAATCGAACCTGTGACCTTTCAGTCCAAAGGTGGCTGCTCTATCCTCTGAGCCAAACCTGTTAGGACTCCTGGTTCTTTCTTTAGCGATGTTTATTCTGTTGCTTAATCTAACCACAAAGTTTTTAATTATAAAGGTTTCTTTTTTTTTTTGTAAATCTGTTACTTATTGTCACTTACTCTTTCTCCATATTTTCAAGTTTTTCTTATATGTCTTTAAACATTTTCATTGTTATCTTTTATTTTATGTCAAATGATTCAGTATTTGATGTCTTTGTGAATCGGAGTCGCCATCTGTTTCTGTCGAGCCTAGCTTACGGTGCTTTGTGCTGTGGGTTTGTAGTTCATTATTGTGAGATACTCCTTTCACTCTAATGGATGGGGACTTGTGAGGCCTAGCTTGATGCCTCCTATTTACTTCTGCCTGTTGTCTCGAGGCACTGCCCAGCCTGGGGCTGTTTCAATCTATAGCCTCTGCAGCTTTTAAAATGTCACACAGACAAAATGAACTGTGCACATGACCCTAAGTTCTGAGGGAGGAAATGCTGCCTGTTTTTGAGCATTCAGGTGACCCTTGTCTTTGTCCAAATGGTGTTCATTTTGTTTCTTGATAACCTTACACTGAGGGGAGCGGGTTGGGACCCTCGCTGAACCAGGAGTCTGGAGAGAGTCCCCCTGCTGGCAGCTGGCTGGCCGTCCCTGTGTCCTGGGCAGCAGCGAGGCGGTGGCCGGTCCCCAGAAGTCAGTGGCACCTGTGGTTCGAGATGGCAGATGGCTTTGGTGCTTGGTTACCTCTCATGGTTTCTCTTTTTAGGTTTTGGCCTCTTTGAAATTGGACCTTTTGTGTTAGCTCCACAGTATTAAATGCATTATAGTTATTTTAAATGATACTTGCTTTAGTCAAGAGATTCATTCATTGGGTCTGCATTAACTGCAGAACTGGAAGTCCCTTCTTTTTAAAAACATCTTTTTAGAAATTTACCTTTTGTGAAATCTTTTTTTACTTTTTAGATTACACTCTCATTTGGGGATGGCAGCAGTTCATCAGCTCTGAAATTTTATTATTGAATAAATTAGATATATTTAGTAATAGTGTTTTTAAATCTTTTATCCTATTTTATATGATTTATCAAGATTAATATTTGAGAAAAAAGATTCAGCTTTATCAATATATACTTCAGTGTTATTTGGCTTTCAAGAACCTTTCTAATAAAACTTCCGAATGTATGTCATGATCATAACTTGCTCATGTACGTGCACTTTGTCTGAGAAAGGTCAGATATAAATTTGTCGTGAAATCTGAACCACTTCTGTATTCGGGATGTACTTATGTTCTGTGCTTTCTCTTTCCAAAGCAACATCTGAACTAGCAGAACATCTGCAGGAGGAATGATAAAAGATAACTTTTAATAAGGACTGCACATGGCGGTTTTTTTTCCCCTCTTCTGACCTTAACTTGCATGTTTAGGTTTTAGGAGAAGCTTCAGTACCACTTCGGCTTCTTCCCAGAAAGAGATTAACCGCAGAAACGCTTTTGCCAAGTGAGTATGGAGGTTTAGAAACACACCGTTCGAGAGGAGCTGGGCGGGACTCTGTGAAGGACGAAATGGGGGGTTTTGTACCTTTCACTTGGCGGGGTAGGATTTATCACTTAGGGAACCGTGGATGAGTGCACCGAGAGGAGTTCTGTTAAAAATGTCGCCGGGACTGAAGGTGCTGCACTGCACATGTTTTCGAATTGGTTTAGTCCTGTTAATAAAGGTTGGAGGAATTTACGCTTTGTGTTATCATTGAATAGGGTGGACTGATTTTTGTTAGACTGTTTAATTAGTCAGAAAATTGATTTACTGTTTGCAGCAGTGCATGAAAGCAATGCCAGGCCTGTTTGCTTAAGGTAATGTTATTAGTAAAAAAAATTACTCCCACTCTGCCTGGGGAGTATGCTGCTCAAAATGCATGTTTGTTTATTGGTTTGTTTCTTGTAGAGAGAATCTCTTTTTCTCTTTTTCTTTTACATTTATTTACCCCACACCCTGAGGCTCGGGAGGTCCTGTGAGATGCTGTCTTAGCAGGGCTGGGTGGGTGTTTGCTGTATATGTGTGTGTATATTTTTTAAAAATATGTCTTCATTGACTTTTAGAGAGAGAGGTAGGGAGAGGGAGAGAGAAAGAAACATAGATGTGAGAAACATTGATTGGTTGCCTCCCATATGCACCCTGACCAGGGACCAAATCCACAACCTGGGCATGTGCCTTGACCCGGAATTGAACCAGTGACCTTTTGGTGCGCGGGATGATGCTCACCCACTGAGCCACACCAGCCAGGACTCTCTCTCTCTCTCTCTCTCTCTCTCTCTCTTAAATCCAGATTAGTATAGTATTAAAATAGTCAAAAGGGAAATCTTTTAAAATGTCAAACAAAAGTTGATTCTACTATTGCTATTTAGACTAAAAAACTCAAGTTGTAAACACAAAGTATTCTCTCTTGTGACTGAATTGCGAGCTGCAGTGGAGATGAAGACGGTGAGTCGCATCACCTGGCCTTCAGGTGTAAGAGCTGCTCTTCCTTTTCCCGTGAACAGATCCAAAACCGCGCTGCGCCGCAGCTGGAGCAGCTCGGCCCCGGGCGTGGAGGGCGGCGCGAGGCTGCACGAGGGCTCCCAGGTCCTGCTCACCAGCTCCAACGAGATGGGCACCGTGCGCTACGTGGGCCCCACCGACTTCGCCTTGGGGATCTGGCTGGGGCTCGAGCTGCGGAGCGCCAAGGGGAGGAACGACGGAGCCGTGGGCGACACGCGCTACTTCACCTGCAAGCCGAACCACGGCGTCCTGGTGAGACCGAGCCGCGTAACCTACCGCGGAATAAATGGGTCGAAGCTCGTGGATGAGAACTGTTGAGTTAAACTCCTGGCGTGTTCGGTGAGTGAGCGTGTGTGTGTGTGTGTGTGCATACATGCATGCATGTGTATGTAAGATATAGAATAAAGAGTCAGGCAAATGTCGACTTTAATTAGCCACTATTTAAAATTTGAAAATATGGCTGTCTTCCTAAAAACCACGATTACAATCCAGAGGGACTCCTTTGAAAAGCTAGCACTGTGGACTGTGGGGGTCATGGTTCCCTCAGAACAGTTTTGAAAGAAGCGTTTTTAAAAGCTTTTGAAGCTTTAGACCCAAGACAGTTCCGAGACATAGGGTCAATGTGCCCGTGGGTGGCCTGCTGCTGTTGCTCTGTCTCATCTGTGCACACAGTACAGTGGGGCCTTGACTTACGAGTTTAATTCGTTCGGAGACCGAGCTCGTTAAGGAGCTCGTTAACTCAAATTACTTTATCAACTCAATGCAAAAAAATCGGGGGAGAGACAGCTGGTATCTCAAAACCTCCTCAGTCGGGACCCTCGGAAGTCAAGGCCCCACTGTACTGGGTGTTTCCTGGTCGTGCGGGTTTGCCCAGCTTTGTGCTTAAATCTGATGTTCACATGGCCTTTTCCTGTCAAGTATTTTGGGGTTTTCGTTTCGTCCTGTACTGGTAGTATAATAAGAAGCTCTGTGATTAGTGTATTTTTCATATTTGGGGCAAAATTATTTGCCCTTTCAGGAGGGCCTCATCGAAAGCTAGGTTAGAATTTTGGAGTTGGATGGGGCCTTGCACAGACGTGGACTCTGAGCCGTTTTCTCACCCACAGCCGCTGGCTAGATGGCTAAGGCCTGAGGCCGGAGCGTGGGTCTCCTGAGCGTGGCTCACGCTCTTTCCTCTGTACAAAGCAGTTACTCTCAGCCTTCTCGTTGTGTCGGTGACTGCTTCATCGGGATGAATTATAAAAACTATGATTAGGTTTACGAGTTCAAGTCATAATGAGGGTTTTTTGCACATACTTATTTAACTTCCTTATTGGACAGATCTCTAAAATACACACAGACACACACGAAGCACTTTCACCATAGGATGCACTTTCATCTTTGCCATCATTTCCTCCTGGGTATGAAAAACATTAAAAAATTATATTGAAGAGAAGAGTGCAAATTAAGATGTGTTAGGAAGAATGTAGTAGTTAATCATTTAAATGTTTATGATTTCTCGTTTTTTTGTGTTATTCATAAATCTGGTGTTCGCTCTTGTTGCTGTTTGTATTTTCATTTGTTGAAAACCATTCTGTTACAGCTGCGGGGCTGAGTCATCATGGTTTTATTTTCCTTGTTGAGCGTGTGTTGACAAACTGCTCTTCATAACAGTGAGGTGATAATGCCAAGCATTTGTATTGTGGATATGTATTGAAGTTTATGGTCTTATATGTGTAATGATTGATTCCTAATTGTAGATATTTAGACCTTAATCTACAGCAGAAATATCGGAACAGTTTGCTTTATAAGATTAAAATCCTCCTTCAGAATGGAGCTTACTTTGTGCTTAGAAAATCTAGGTTGAACTATTTTACAATATACTATTTAAAATCAGAATTCTGTTGCTTCGCTGCCTTTTAAAAAAGAAGTGTGGCATTTCAAATATTGTTAGAGCTATTTTCCTGAAATACATGTGCAAAATAAGGCTGCTTTATAACCAAGGAATATTTTTATTGACTGAAGAAAATGACTGTACTGCTATTCAAAAGTAAACTTATTTTATTATATAGCTTATTTCTTAAAGACTCTATTTATACCTTGACATGAAATCCCTGGTTATACTCAACTTGGGTGTCTATAATTCTTCCTGTTGACTATAAAACACTGTAAGTTAGAAGCAGTAATGGAACACAATTCAGTGTTGCATTTTGAGATCAGAATAATTCTCATATTTAGATTAGGATTATTAATGTGTATGTTTACAGATGCTATACAAACAAGTTTGATGTTTTCATTTGTTTTGCTTATTGATGTCAAAATTCACTTCTTGAGCATTAATAAAAGGGAAGCTGTTTGGTTTTGGAATGGTATCTTGTCATTTCCGCCCCCCTCCCCTCACCACTCTGCCTTTCTCAGTGACTTAACTTTTTTTCCCTTACAGTAATGATTTGGATTTGTCCTGTCCCTATAAAGCATCTTAAGAAGTGTCATGCTTTCCACTCAACAATAAAGATACGTTTCTAGCCACCCCCTTTTATATTGTTTTGATGAGCAGAGAGCCACCTAAGAAAATAATGTGTTTCTACAGTTTTCTAAAATTGCTTAACTGTCCTTTATACCAGTGGGATTTCATTGGGTTATGTAAGGCAGGGCCGAACACTTTGAAGTTAGATTTAAAAAATATATAAATAACTAGAGGCCTGGTGTATGAAATTCGTCATGGGGGGGCGGTGTCCCTCAACTCGGCTTGCACCCCTCCAATCTGGGAGCCATAATGTGTTTCTACAGTTTTCTAAAATTGCTTAACTGTCTTTTATACCAGTGGGATTTCATTGGGTTATGTAAAGCAGGGCCGAACACTTTGAAGTTAGATTTAAAAAATATATAAATAACTAGAGGCCTGGTGTATGAAATTCGTCATGGGGGGGCGGTGTCCCTCAACTCGGCCTGCACCCCTCCAATCTGGGACCCATTGGGTGATGTCCGACTGCGGTTTAGGCCCGATCCCACAGGGTCAGGCAGTCGGACATCCCTCTCACAATCTGGGACTGCTGGCTCCTAACTGCTCCCCTGCCAGCTAATTGCCCCCAACAGCCCTCCCCTGCCGGCCTGGTTGCCCCCAACTGCCCTCCCCTGCCAGCCCCCTGTGGTGGCCATCTTGTGACGGAGTCTTGTGATGACGTGGCGGTGGCCATCTTGTGACGGAGTTGTGCGACACCACCCAGGCTTTTATTATATAGGGTTGTCTGCATTCTACTAAAAACTCTCTGTCTGTGTTTTAGGGTAACTTGGTGGGGATATTGCGAGTGCTTAACAGTGTTCAGATACAGATGCTCACTAACCTGAGCCGAGACTGTGAGCCCGCTGTGAGCCCCTGCAGCCTCTCCTGACGCCTGTCCTCCCCGCGTGTTTAGTTTGTCTCCCTAGCATTTAGCACTCTTGGTCACAGTAACATTTTTGCTTGTTATTTCTCTCTCCCCTCAGTGGCCCGAGGGCTGGATGTTTGGCTGCTTCGCTCATCGCTTAGTTCCCAGCACCTGCGTGATTCCCGGCTCCTGTGGTGCTTGGTGATGTTCACTGAGTTCCAGAGGCAGCAGGCCGCCGAGTGGCTGCAGCAGGTGCTGTTGGGCTACACACGGGCCTTGGGCGCCGGCCATGCACCCGGAGTCTTACGTGTAAGGGAGGAAAGAGGGCACGTAGCCCAGCGTTACGCCGGAACAGCGGCATGAAGAAGATAGAAAATGTTGGGTAGAAAAGGGGGCAAGAAAGACACAACAGGATCACCTCAGGCAGCTGCCTCTGTGTTTTCCTGGGGCCGGTTCTGAATTCCCGTTTGCTGACCTGTCATTTAGAGAACATGGTGCTGTGTGTGTCTGATAGAGGGAGAGTGAACTGGATCTGACCTGAGTGTGCCCAGCATTTCATTTCAGAGTTGTATTTTGGACCTACCTATGTAGAATCTGTGATAACATTATTTAAGCCACAGTGACCGATGGCTAGAGACCTCCTGTGTTCGGAATCATTCTTAATTAAGAAACAGATCGAGTCGTGTAACTACCCTCCAGACATTTGTTATCTAAGTGATTCACTCGGCGACGTGTAATGTGCACGGCCACACTGCAAGGCAGTAGGAAAATTCACTTTTTATTTTTCTTCATGCCCTTGGCTTCACTACACTTATTTATGATACAAATACTTTAGTTAGTACAAAACTCACACTATCACACATGTTTGGTAATGTTTAGCAATACCCCTCGGTCCACACACAGGCCCTTACACACACGTAGCTCGGATCCACAGCAGGCATTCCTAACGAAGCTGTGTGGGCTGAACAAGGCCACATCATGGCTTCATTACAAGCAGGGTGTGATGCCTTTGCATGGGCGGATGGAATTTTTCTACCAACATTTTTGCTAATGCTCCTTGTTATAGGGGGGAGAGGAAGCGTACGTGAAGGGATGCGAGGGCCGGCTTCTTTGTCCGGAGGATGTGGTCCCAGGAGTGGGCACTTAGTGTTGTTCAAATGGGATAAATAAAATCAAATAGTCTCTGAAATCTACTTGTACATTGGGGCCTTGACTTACGAGTTTAATTCGTTCCGTGACGGAGCTCGTAACTCAAATTACTCGTATGTCAAATCTTAAAGTGAACAAGTCAGACACATGATGCTGGGCTGATGTTGTGGCATTCACTGTGACGTTCGCTGCGCCAACTAGCAGTGGGGTATCTGAAGCTGGTTCATAACCCGAGTTTTAGCTCGCAACTCAAAGCAAAAAATCGGCCGAATTTTAGAAAAAGCATCCTTAGGTGGATGTTGAAATGTTTTAAGAGTCATACCAAGTCCCTTGTTGATAGCAGGGAAAGCGGAGTTTGCATTATGGACGATGGACAGAGGAGAAGAGGAAGGTGAACAATTTCAATCTCCTTTCCTGAACCTGCCAATACAAATGGTTTCTAATGAGAATTCCAATAGATTAGTCATATTAGTTAAAGTGTAATTTTCTCAAATGATGTCTTTCTGGAAGGGAGTAGAGCTCAGGGAATGAGATTTCTGGGGCCCCACTGCACACTGGTGTGTGACACAGGGCATCCAGTGTCCTGTTCTGCTTAGTTTCTTACCTTCTGTCCCCAGCTGCTTCCTGGTCCAGACACGAGGAAAAAGAATGTCTGTCTTTCCTATGACTTTATTCTGAGAACTGTGAAGGTCTATATAAATATTGCTTTGGAATAATACAAAAAGATTTAAATTGTGGTTTTTTTTTCTTGACTTTCAGATGCACTAAAATGTAGGTAACTTGCCTTCCCAAGTCTTGTCTGTTGGTGGATTATTTGAATTGGCTGTCTGTGGGGATTCTGGATCCACTAGAAAGCTCTAGCATTCACCACAAGTTTCCAGAAATCGCCATCCAGTGGCAGTGGGTGTTGCTATAAATCTGAAAAGAGGGGTTCTATCCAATTCTATGGTAATTGGAGCAGGACTCCTGTTCCCAATGAATTCCTCAACACAATGGACACTTGTGTAGGGATGCTGGGCCCACAGGTGCTGCCTGGTCAGGGTCATGGGACTCCGCTGGGTGCTGTTACTTCACTTTGGGATGGGCCCCGGGAGGTGCAAACTGACAGCCGACAGGTCTGTCATCAAATAGGAGGTGTGGTGAAGGTAACCTTCAGAAGGTGCGCTTTATAACTTACTGTGATGATAAGCCCGCACTTGTGGCAAATGGAACCAGAGAGATAAGTGTGTGACACTGAAGGGGT